TTCCGATTTCTTGCAAGGTGAGTCTTCTCACTATACTTACCATGAGTGATACATTTGTGTGATTGAGATGTTTATTGTGCTTACGTGTGTATTTTAATATTCTGCATTATGTCATTGTGATTTATGCTGAATATTGTTATTATGAGTTTACTGAGTTGGGAACGGAGGGTCCCACTGAGACACATTGATCGGATGGTCTTATTGAGTTATGGCCTAGAGTGGCTAATGAGCTGTGTGTGGTATTTTGGGGAACTCACTAAGCCTCGTGCTTACCGTGTTATGTGTTATGTGTTTCAGGTACTTCCGATGATCGCGGGAAGGCCCCGGCTTGATTGTACACACACTCGCATTAGAGATATGTTTTTGGAGGATCCTGGATTTTGTGATAAACAACTTTTGAAAAATAATACGTGTTAATGTTGATACTTGAGATTTTTGGGAAATGTGGCATGTGTTTATTGTGTTTGAAAATGAAAATTTTGGTTTGAAAATTTTCGGTGTTACAGCAGCGACACGGGAAGGTGGCCGCAGCGGCGGTTTGCGATGACAACCATCACCTCACGGTGGTGGCGACGGTTTCTCTTGACCCTCTGCCCAACAACACGTCAACATACGCGAGCAGAATACACACGAACCGACGACGACTTTGTCTTCAATGGAAACGGGCAACACAGGTTCGCGGTGGTGGCTTCGGCGGTTCGGTGGCTATGAAACAGTGGCAAGGAACGTCTTCGCCGGCAGCAATGACGCCAACGAATGCTGGTGGTTATCGACTCCATCTGCAATGGTCTACTCCGGCTTCAATTGGTAAAGATGTGGTTGAGAAAGCTCCGAAAAAGCGGTAGCAGCGGAATCAACGTCAGAAGGAAATAGAGAATGGTGGCAGTCGAACGGAAAGGCGGAAGTCCAGTGGTCCTTGTCGCTGTCGCTGATCGGAAACGGCATGGCGGCGGCGCCGGAGGTGGAAGGTGAAGGTGGCGACTGATGTTTTGCATTAGGGTTAGGGTTACCGGGAGGGTGACGGGTTTATATACCCGATCCCCTTAAACTCATTTCCATAATGACGAAAATAGTCCCTCCTTTCCCTTTTTATTTCAAACTAAGTCTATAATTTACCTTTTAACCCCAACCATCCAAAAACTCTTCAACTTAAGTCCCAATAATTACCATGCAGCCCCTCCCTCTACAAATTATTTTCAACTGAAGTCCTTATATTACCAAATGGCCCCTCATCTACAAAACCTTTTCAACTTAGGTCCATAATTTACTCTTTAGCCCCCGAATAATCCAAATTATAACATTTGGCTCCCGAAAACCAACACCCCTCTAAAAATTATGGATTTTAGGGCTACTATTCATATTAATTTTATCTATTTATTTATTTATTAAACGGGATGTTACAGGTAAATATTTTATAGCAAAAATAGAATGGTATGGAGAATTTCATGACAACTGATGTGACAAAAAATTGGTGCGAAAACGATGACTCATACCTACTAGCTTTATGTTTCAAACTTTTAGTTGCATTAGCTTCCCCGGGTGAAAACTCCTCATAAGCACGTGTGGTACATTTTGCTATACAAAGGGTATAATGAATAATTTTTTTACTTTTCATATTTTTAGTTGTTGGCTAATGCTCAAATTGCCATTGCTAAATAATAACCATAGTCCGACCAAAAGGTTATTTGTATAATGGTGTTTGGGATATAAATGTATAAATATAAATAGAAGTAGTTAAGGAAAAGAAGATTGTTGCTTGATGATGTCATTAATATATCATATTGATTTTGTCATGTTTTCACTTGAGGAGTAAAATTTCAATTAGATATTTGTCCTCTATCAAAAACCAATATAGACAAGAGGAATTAAAATCGAGCAGTAGAAGAAAATATATGCACTACAAAGCCTAGGCATCAATAACAAAGTCAAATTGACCCAAGGAATGTATCTTAATTAGTTTTAGTTTTTCCACTTAAAAACAATTTTTTTATGTATTTTTGTTTTCTTTGTCTTATTAGTATAAAAATTCGGTTTTCATCTTTATTATTTATCTTTATAATAACAAATATATACATATAAATCATTTTAATAACCAATATATAAAATAATGTCTTAATGGATAAAGACACGTTTATATTAAATCATAAAATGATAATTTGAATAAATATGATATTTTGACAATTAAAGTAATAAAATGTTATTGTGGGTAAATATAACATTTTGATGCATTTAAGGGTATATATGATATTTTAAACATATCTTTATAAGAGGTGTATAATAAACAATTAATAAAAATAATGATTTAAAATGATTATAAAATGTTTAAACAAAAATTAGGACAAATATAATATTATGTATGTTTATTTAGGATATATATGATATTTAGATTTTAAAAAGTATAAGACATAATATTTTGTTGTTTAATTAGGACATATATAAAATTCTTTCAAAAATAATTAATGACTTTTATTAAAAATTTACTATTGAAAATACAAAAAAATAAAATGTCAAATCAACTTTTTATACAAAAAGGGTATGCAATATCGAGTTTTGAAATTTGCCAAAAAGTCTGAAAAACAAATTTTGTTCAAAAGTTGAAAAAGATATGATGAAATTTGTGATTTTGAGTCTTTACGTATATATTGGAGATTCATGGACTCTAAATTGAAACACAACGTGATGCACAATCTATTTCATAAACTCTTTGTGAAAAGGAAGGCTACGATATTTGTAAAATAACAACTTTATTTTGTGTCAACTTTTAAAATCAAACTTTTTGGATATAATTCAAAACGAATATATTAATTAGTGATCACAATACAATGAGTGCGAAGGCAAACGGACAACAAGTTGCGTCGTTAAGTTTTTTATATGATAAAATCAATTTTTTTTAATATTATATATAGATCTAGGAGACATAACATTGCTATGTCTGATCCATTGTACTCTATTAAGAAACTTCACCGCATTTGGTGTCAGAAAACCAAACGTATCAAACGCGAATGATATTAACATGTGTTGAATTTTCATATATGGTTTCTCATGTTTTGTGATTTTGCCCCGTTTTGAAACCCCTAACCTTCAACCCTCAAGCTCAAGCTCTTTGAAATCCCTAACCTTCAACCCTCAAGCTCAAGCTCTTTGAAATCCCAAGCTCAAGAGAGGATGTTGAAAATATCATCAAAATTGAGTGATTATTGGTTGATAATCTCCACTGCTATAAGTTGTTGAATTCATGTGAATTATCCAATGTACTGAAAACAAGAATACAAATATATGTTGTAATATTGTTTATGTTTCCACCATAAAATAACATTTTACTAGTGGATCATATGTGTGATTTTTTCTATCCATATACTTATATATTTCCACATTTATATCTATGTGTATATGTGGATATGATATTTGTTACAAGCTACATTGTTATATACCGAATTTGTGGAGTGATTATTTTAATTATAAATTCAAAAGGAACCTTTCCCATGTGAACGTTCTTACAACATTTGTTAATAAAGTTCTAACATATGAATAAATTCAAAAGGAACCTTTCTTGAAATAAGAAATTAATCCCTCAACCAAATCATGGAAGAAAGAATATATCCACTAGAAATGAATAATTTGGTTTTGAGAAAGCTTTCCCTTTCCATTTGAAACCATATACATTGAGTAATAAAGTTTTTAGTCTTAAACTCTTCATTAAAACATTAGAATTGGATTACATAGTAACATAAATAGACAAAACATCAATTGAAACAAAAGAAATATATAAGGGTATTACTAAAAGAGTATTTGAGCTCTACAATATAAGAAAAAAGGTAAGGGAAAACAATGATGAAATCACTTGGGCTCATTTATTTATACACAAAAAAATGCCAAATCTTTATAAACACGTATTTGTATTTGTTCACAATTGCAATCAATACCCATTATAATTGCTAGTAGATCTTTATCTATCTTGTTTTGCCTCAAACTATCAAAATTATATCTATGCAAGTTATAATGAATGTGGTGATAAGACTCAAAAGATTGTACCAAACAACATTAATATCTAGTGGTTATACTTCGACTACTTTCATATTATTGTGATACCTTCAAAAGAATATATGTTCTATTAGATGTTTTGGGAAAGTCAAAATAAATGAACTATTAAAGGTAACTCATATTTATTTTTATAGATATTTGTTTAACTTTTAATCAAATGGTTTATAATCTGACAATAAAAACTGGAAGTTATGTTCTTTAGGCATAGAAGGTTGAAGGTAAGGGTGTGTATATTAACCGAAAAACCAAATCAAAACCTAATTAACCGAAATAAATGAACTATTTTAACTGAACCATTACTAAAAACGATGATACTATTTCTGTTTTTGATTAACCAAATACATATGGTTCGGTTTATGGTTTTTCATCCAAAACCAAACCACTAAAAACCGAATCAAACAAATAATAGTAATAAATGTTTTTAATATAAAATAATATTAAATATCATGATATTTAATTATATTTAGAGTTGAAAATTTAAAGGATAATTATTTGGAATTAAGTGAGATACCTAATTTTCTATCATATTAATAAGGTTATAAACACTGAATCGTTCACTTTTTTTTTTATAACAATATACTTTATGTTTGTAAGTTTTTATAGCAAAATATTTTTTTATCTCATTTTTAACAATTATGATTGATCAATATTAACCATTAACCGAGAAAAAAACTAAACCAAACCGTCTCATTCTCGTAGTTGAAGGTCTGTTAGTGTAATTTAAGATTATATTAGAACATAGTAAAAATAAAAATATGTTCAGCTTTTATACATACCACATATATCAATATATTCATAGTTGTTTTTATCAAATTTAAGTTACATATGATATACACAAAAAATCCTTTTTTAGTAGATAGATAATCTTTTCAAAGTTTGTTTAAAAGTAGGCATGATAATTGCTAGAAATAAGGGTTAAGAACTTGTAACAAATTTATTTTTTTAAAAATTTTCATCATCACAAAAACAAACCCCACCCCCCACACCAAAGAGACCCCCACCAAAAACTTCCGCAATCCTTTTCTTCTTCTCCTTCCCCTCTCCCCCTTCTCTCACACAGTAACATAAATCTCTTCTTCCCCCACACGGCGTAATCACAGCGGTCTTTCTTTCTGCACACTCAATTCTCTTCGTTTACAACCGTTTCAAAGTTTCTTTCTTGTGATTCAAAAACCAAATTTCCATATAATACAATCGTAGAACTGAAACATCCGAAAAAACAGAGGCCGAATTAGGGTTTTTTTGGGTTTTCGTTTAATCCAACTTAGTCTAATCTTAATTTCGTGGGGGTAATTCAAGAATTTGGAATACCCATTTCTTGTTTATTCACGTTTGTTTCATTACTATATATTAAACGAACAAACCCTAGGTTTATATTTTCTTTTGCGTGTTGTGATGTTTTAAGCTCTAGGGTTTGATTATGTAATGGGATTGAAGTATCATTCATTCATAGGCGTTCTAAATTGCGTTTCTTTGATGGTATAAGACTGGTTTGTTTTCTCTGAAGGTGGTGATTCAACTTAGTTATAAGATGAGGGTCTTCTAAGTTTTGTTCAATCTCGAAAAATGGCGTCTTTCTAGTTCTTTTCTTCGATAGTGATGGTGTTGTACTTCGATGTCCATTTGGTCTTTTTTATTCTCTTCTTATGATGTTCAGTACTAATAATGGAAAAAACTGAGCCAACATTCGTACCCGAATGGTTAAAGAACAATGGAAGCTTAAGCACATCGTCTTCGTTGCATTCTGGTATGTTTTCTCCCACAATGTCGATGTTATTTTTCATGTTTTCTTAAGTTAATTTACTCATCGATAGACTTTTTAATGTGTTGTAGATGATCAACGTGTATCAAAATCTCTGAGAAATAACGATTTAGGTCGCACATCTGTTTCTGATCGAACAACTTCTTCATATTTTAGGCGTTCTTACAGTAATTTTGGGAGAAATCATCGTGATCGTGATTGGGACAAAGATTATTCTGATCCATTGGCTAATATTCTGCCAAGTAGATTTGAGAAAGATGGATTAAGACGTTCACATTCCAGTCTTTCTGCTAAGAAAAATGAGTCATGGCCTAGGAAAGTTGTAGGTGAAAGAAATGGTCATAATAATGGGAAGGTGTTATTTGAGAGAGACTTTCCATATCTTGGGGTGGAAGAAAAACAAGCTGATTCTGAGATTGGGAGAGTGCCTTCTCCGGGGTTGACCACTGCCATTCAGAGCTTACCGGTTGGTAATGTGGCGGTGATTGGCGGTGATGGGTGGACCTCCGCCTTGGCTGAGGTGCCTGTGATGGTTCAACCTACTCCGGTGGTGGCTACTAGCCGGAATATGGCTGAGACTTTGGCGCAAGGTCCTCCTCGAGCTCATACTGCTCCTCAGGTACCGTGTTTGACATGACATGACAGAATAGGTTATACTAGGTTATACTGTGTTTGACATGACATGACAGGATAAGTTATACTGTGTTTGAAAACACATGACATGACAGGATAAGTTATACTGTGTTTGAAAACACATGACATGACAGAATAGGTTATATTGTGTTTGACATGACATGACATAATATGTTGTATTGATTTGAATGGGACAAAAATTGTAAATTTTTTGTCTTGGAACTATGTTTGGTATGTGGAAAAGACATGAATGCCCTTTTCATCTTCATTACTTGGTCACATGTTTATATTTAGTTGTTTGTTGTATGTAGTTATCTGTTGGAACTCAAAGACTTGAAGAGCTTGCAGTCAAGCAATCAAGGCAATTGATTCCCGTGACTCCTTCCATGCCTAAAACCTTGGTAAGTGTTATTTTCCTTTCTTGTTGGTTTTTAAAATTATTGTTACCTTTTATATTGCTTATGTTGCCACTATTTATGGCCCATTCTTTTAGCATTGTAACATTATTTTTTTTTTTGGTAAAAGGTTAAGACTTTAGGGGAAAGGGCTTTTTTTTTCCTAACTTTCTATTTTAAGTTGTTCTTTCTGCATTAACTTACAAAGAAACACCTATATATAGTTTACCATATTAAGTTGTGTTATCATTAAGCCCATTAAGTAAAAAAGAAACAATGTCATGTTACATTTGAGTTTTGACAATGACATGGCTTATCCAAATAATAATAATAATACATCTCAATTTGGGTGATTCAAGCCTTTAAAGCATAATAGTCAAACATTATACCATACATCATTATTTCTATAACATACAAGGACAAATACATGTTCATTTAGTACAACTTTTTAAAGCATATGTTCCAAATTTTATTATAGTACAACTTGTACCATAGTACCATAGAAATAAAAAACATATTTTCTTGTATGGTAGTACATGTCTTTATTTTTACAACAAAACTTGTTACATAATTAATGTAAGCATTGGATTTGATTCTAAAATCTTTGGGAACTTTTTTAGGCAATGACCTCTTCTGAAAAGTCAAAGCTAAAAGTTGGTCAAGGTCAACCCTCCCCTCGACCTTTATCTGCAAAATCTGATGTCAGCAAGGTATCACCAACTGTGGGAAAACTTCATGTCCTTAAACCATCTCGTGAAAGAAATGGTACAATTTCAAAGGAGACCTTAAGCCCAACAAGTGGTGGTAAATTACCAAATAGCCCTCTTGCTGTACCCTCGGCTGTAACATCTAATATCCCATTGAGAAACACGGGTAGTAGTTCAGTCAATCTTGAAAAGAGACCCTCCCCTCAGGCTCAGAGTCGAAATGACTTTTTTAACCTTGTGAGGAAAAAATCCATGGCAACCAACTCGGTTACAGGGTCGGGTCAGAGTCAGACCGATGGTGCACCCAAGGGTGGTGTGGGTGATACGGTTGACCGGTCAACTAGTAATGGAAAGAGCAATTTGGGCAATGATGTAATTTTGTACTCTGAGGAAGAAGAGGCAAGATTTTTGAAGTCATTGGGGTGGGAGGAAACTACTGAGGAGGGAGGTCTTACAGAAGAGGAGATTAACTCTTTTTACAGGGATGTAAGTAAGGTAAGTACAAACCTTTTTTATTATTTTTCATTTAAATAATTATATCACTTTTTGATATTTGATTTTTCATTGATGGTTTTATGTTTGTAGTATGTGAAGAAAAGAACTGCTTCAAATTTTTTCAAAGGAACACAGCCCAAGTGTTTGATGCCAGTCATACAAATGGGGAAAAATGGTGATATTTCAGCTGACTCGAAGGTGGATTCGTGAGCTTGTGGGACCCGTTTAGTTACCCGATGGAGTGAAAGGTCTTGTTTTTATTAGGGTGTCAAGATCCGGATATTACAAAATGCTTAAAAGATTAGAACTGTGTTTTTCTTCATTTTTAAAGGGTTGATGAGGGGAGTAGGTGAAAAGAAATGTGGGTTTTAGTTTGTTTTTTCTTTTATTTTTCAATTCAACATAGTAGCTTTGTTATGGTTTATTAGTCATTTTTAAGGGAAAAAAAAGCAAGAAATTTACTTGTATGCTTGTTTCTTGATTGTTTTTTCTCTTTAAATGTTTGGTTTTTAGTCAAAAGAGTATGAGTTTTAGGGTTCCTCTTGAATCATGAGTTGATTTTGCAAAAACGTCAGACTTGTCAAAATTGACCAAGTGATTTGGATGGAATGGTTTTTGAAAGTATGTTTTTATTTAATGATCTTAATCCATTTATCTAGCTTTTTAGCATGTTAGTTTAGATGACAAATTATAATCGATGTAGAGGTTTTATTTGTATTTGAGTTAAATATAACTAAAGCATTGAAGTATTTACACACAAGATACTTATCATTCGTGTATAGACTCGAATATAGTTTATCTACTTATCATTTGTGTTAGAGTCGAATATAATTATAGAATATAGTTAATCACTTAATCTACTAATCATTTGTCTTTTGGACAATATGCTAAGATACGCCACATATTCTCTTCTGGCCAACTACTAGTTGTAAACCCCTAAGACTTAGGTCGATGCCTTACTCGATAGACCATTATGTAGTTGGTTTGAATACCATATCTAACTACATCATTGTATTAGATATTCATGATATATATAATCTGAAAAATTATATCCATGTTACATGTTTTTCATAAAAAATGAGTCTTCTATAAAGAATTGAGTTGATAACATATCTTGGTTTGTGATGTTATCTCTGAGGCTTTTTGGTAACCTTTGAATGATTTAGAGTATCTAAATAAATTTAGTTTTGAATATAAACGTGTTGTTTCATAAGGTTGCCAAATAAAAGTGCTCAATAAGAAGAATTATGATTTACCTTTCTATTTAGACCTAATAATAAATACTAACAAAACATCTTAAAAAAAAAAGAAAAATTCATACCAAGGTCAAAAGCTATAAATCTAAATATCTAATATAACTCAACAACATATAATAAACCTTCAATAACCCTCGATATCTCCTTCATGTCCATAACATGCAACAAGATATGTATATGCATTTACATTAGGCATAAAGGCTTTATCCAACGATGAAGCCGATATTTAATTTGCCCGACAAGTACTCTCATGTCTCCATTTTCCCTTATAACCACTTTGTTCGGGAAAGTTTGCCTTATTCTTTGTGCAAGTGTAACTTCAATACATGTAATGACACCAATGGAGTAAACTAACAAAGTTTTTGGTTAAAAGGAGCAACACACACAAAAACAACTTTTAGAACCCCACAAATCAATTCCACTTAAATGATCTTTAAACCAACAAATCCTTTAATTTTAAATAAGAAGCAACAAATCAGAAACCCTTATGAATATTCAAAATTTAACAAAAGAGAGAGATTATTGTATGCACTTCGAAGAATCGGATTGGGTTCTTTGCTATCAATACAACAACGTGAAGCCTCCAACACTTCAAGTAGAATGAACAATATGGACGACAAATTGGGTAGTCATTTTGTGTTTTTAGCTGACACAACATGATGTATTTTTATAAAACAAGGACATGACATAACACAAGGTCATGTTTTGTTTTACTAACACGAAAACAACCCAATTAAAACACGATAAAACGATTAACACGACAAAGAATGAAAATTATAAAATAAAACAAACCTTTAGTTTTTCAGTTAATAATTAATCATACAAAATACGACAAACACATGTTAATATCATGTCAATTTCGTGTCGTATTTTGAACATGAACACAAAAAGACACGATGTCGGGTTTTTTTATGTTTGATACAGACACGGCATGTTCCAAATACATGACTTCCTTTCGATGTATTTTATGCTAAATATTACAAAATTAACGTAAACACGGATCAACATCAGAAGCAACATTCGTTCCTTTTGACACCCAAAAATAGTATCTTAGACAATATATCCAAACATACGATACCATAAAAGCGTCTAACAAGGAATTACTAACAAGGAGGTCTTGGGTTCTGTGTCAAACAAATACTAACGAGCCGTTCTAAAAAAAATATTCTACAAACATAAATTTTGGAATCCTAATACTCAAAATATTAAACACTAAGACTATAAAAAGTAAAAGTGGTTTACAACATTCCTACTTAAAAAGTGTATCATCTTAGCGTCAGTTTCATTATATTCTTACTAATACTTACTCTATTTAGGAAATACCATCACTACACATAATTAAATATTTTTATTTTTAATTTTTTAAATACTCAAATTCAATAAAAATACAAGATTTTTAAAAGATTACTAAAAATGAAATAAAAATTATACTAAAAAAACTTAAAAAAAAACATAAAATTAAAAATAATATTACGCTTAAATTAAAAATTACATTAAAACCTAAAATTTATAAATCCTTATACTTGTCTTTCATCTTGTGTTGGAGCTTGTTGAAAAGTTCGAATTGATCGAGTGGAAGATCCGGATGAGGCGGCGTGTTTATCGTTTTCAAGTCGTTGATTACGATTTTGTACTCTAATTTTTTATTTTTTTTTAAGAAACTCAAGATGATCATCAAGTTTTTTTGAACGCATTTGAATGAAATTTGGTTTCGGTTCAACGTCTTTTTTTTTCCTTTGTCTTTTCTTGATGAAGATGTGACATGTTTCATCTTGTCCCTTCCATTAGGCGTCGAAGGGTGATCTCTTCCGATGCGTCGTTATCATCATCATCATCTTCATTGAGGTCAATTCCAAAACCCGCTTCCGGTTCCGAAGTTCTTGCTCGTTTGGTGGAACTGGTGGATTGTCTTTGCGAGTGACTAATCACGCTTGGAACAAGGACCCATTTTGGATCGGCTAGCATAACATGCCAAGTTTTTGATGAGCAAGTGGTTTACCACCATTGATGGTTTTGTATTCTTGAAAAGCGGTGCTTAAAGGTTGAAATCATTACACCCTTGATCATTTGTCCCTTCGTTGCCTTCTTGATGATTGTGGTTGTGTTTCCAACACCATTTCGACATCGTCGTGAGGATATTGGGGTTGAGAAGGTTGAGTTTGAAGTTGTTGAAATTATGATTGTTGGAATTGTTGAAATTGGTTTGGTGTTTGGAAAATGTTTGGTTGTTAGAAGTAGTTTTGTTGGTATGGTTGTTGGAAAATGGGTGATTGTGGAATTGGTGAGTTTGTTGGGAGAATTATATTCATGAAACCTCTCGGTGATGATTCAAAATTTGGATATTAGCGAGGTGTTGTGTTGAGTGTGAATGTGTCGATGTGTGAAGTGGGTGTGTGTGGGGTGTTTGGATTTTGACCCATTTTTAGGATTATAGTATAGAGAGAAAGAAATGAAAGTATGGTGTGTTATAGTGTGGAAGTTTTATTGGTATTTATACATTTAATTTAGAAGGTTTTTTTTTTAAAAAAATTGTTTCAAACGGTCAAATTTGACGGTCACAATCTCTCTCATTTGTATTGCATCGTAGCAACAACCATGATTATTCATACTTACGCTGCATGGGGGTGGTAATCGAAAGAAAGTCACGTGTGACTTCTTGTGCCAACTCATCATACGTGTAACACCTAAAATTTCAAGGTAAAAATTTCATTATTAATATAATCAAAACACTCGTTTATCTTTTACTCAAACATTTAGAAGTATTTTATAATAAAACAGTTATATGAGTACAATTCCCAAATCACAAAGTTGCGGAAAAACATGGATGTATGCGCTGCGATCAAGTCGGGCCCCTCGCATTCGAATCGGAAGTACCTGAAACCATAAACAATAAAATGTAAGCGCAAAGCTTAGTGAGTTCCCCAAAATACCTCATATCATACATACAATAGAGAATGCTATATGCCGGCTATAGTCTTGTCATTATGCCATGAGTCATATCATGATCTTTCCTTGCCAAGCTGGGGGCCAGTACCCTGGGTCTTACAGACAAGTGCCAATAGCCACCTCCTGGTCTTCCATGCAAACATCACAAAGACAACAAACATATAATCTACAACTAACAATCTACTTAACTGCCAGGGTCCGAACCTTGGTCTTGCATACAAATTTGCTAGGAGCCACCTCCGAGTCTTACATATAATACCAAGGGTCACCCCTTGGTCTTCTTATAATAAATAAGCCAATGAGCCGACATTGGTGCCTTCGACCCATAGTATAATGAGGAGACTCACTTTAGACAGCTGAAACCCATAGATAAATCTTTGACTGTAGATCCGCTAAAATCCCTGCGCTATTATTCACAAAATAACATCTAATCAATAATTGGATCCCGACTCACACTAAGAGTCTAAATTAGGGTAAAAGACCATTTTACCCTTTTCCGAACTTGGCCCAAGGCCAAGGCCCAAATCAATTGTCCAAAAGCCCAAAATCTAAAATAATCACCCAAAGCCCAAATATGGCCCAATTTTCCAAATTGGGCCTTCACCCAAGAAAGTCCAATAAAATCTCAACAGCCTAATAATAGAATTCAAATGGCCCAACAAGGCCCAAGACAACCAAAGACCAACATGGCCCAAAACCGAGAGCCCAAACGACCGAAGCCCACTTTGCTGAGTACGCGGGGCGTACTCAGCTTGTACGCTCAACGTACTCCATTAACTTGGCTAACTTCCCATTTTAGCTCTTAATCGATTAATACTTCAAGCCAAACCCATATCTGACTTCCTTAAGGTGGTTTATCACGTAAAATTACCAACTTTATGTGCATGCATGACTTAATGGGGCTTTAGAGCTCAAAAGAGTTTAATAAATGACTTAACACATGTGTGAGACCAATACCACCACAAAGTTTGCACCTTTATGCTCAAGAAGCCCTTAATGTGTCCAGATCTACAAGGATAAGCTCAAAAAATGACCTTAACTCACAATCACCAACCAAATGGACCAAAATGACCATAAACAAGCTAAAGAGTAGAACTATGAAATGAGATGCCAAGCTTTGAACTTTATACCTCAAAAGCCACGAAATGAAGGTGCTAAAGCTGGATCTCAAGGCCCTCCTCCAAAGAATGAGTCTTCAAGCTTCTTCTTCTACCACCTCAAGATGCACAACACCCACCAAAA